ACTCAATACTGTTTCAAAGAAAACAATGAATGTTGATGTATAAAGAATAGGAAATTTTTCGAAAAAAAAACAATACATGTACACTCATCAAAAAAAAAGTCAGCATCTGATGTTGAATGATCGTAATTTTAATATTTATTGAGTGAGTTTTATAATTATCAAAAAATAAACAAATTTCAACAAGCTGATTTAAATAACATTTTGTGGTATTTAAAAGGAAGAAATTTAAGATATATATGTATTAAATTTTACCTGAAGCAGAAAAATCTCAATTTTAGTAAAATTGAAAATAAAAAGAAAAGGAAATATAGCCAGAAGATTTTGTGGCCATTGTGTTAACCTCACTTTACATTGTCTTAATCTTCTTTTGCACCAATATTCTCTGAGTATGGAGTCCATAGCAGAGATCTATTCTGAGGCTTTCGATTTGAATTACTGTCTAAGGACTGAAGTTAATTTCTTGAGCCGGTGTTGTGCAGTCTATATTTAATTACTGCCTGGTTCTCTTTGAATATGTCGTTCCATTTGTTGTATCCTACAGAGTGTATGATGAGTTTTTTTCAGTTCAGGAATAATTTCTTGCTTTTTTTCTTTTAGAGCTAGGCACCTGAGTAAAAAGTTTTCTAAAATTTCTATATCCAGATGACACAGATTACAGTTTGTTCTTTCTTGTTCCCTTTTGAATTTCTGTTTATCACATTCTAAAAGGTGTGTACCGGTGAGTAACTAGGCTTTGTGCCTTTTTTACCTCGTATGTAACTGATGGTAAGGAGTTCCATACCGGGTGAGTCTGAAGTATTTTGAGCTCTGTTTTATTGCAGAGTTTAATAGTGGTTTTTTCTTTCATTTCGGCTTTTAGCTAACTTGTCCATTTATCGGCTATGGCTGTGTTGATTTGTTTCTTTCATTGAAAATTTGTTGGAAGGCTTTTTATCAGCTTGTGAATCGGCATTAGAGTATAACATTGTAGGATTTCTTGAACTCTTGGGAAGAAGCTTTCTTGATTTTCTGAGTTGACAATCAGCTGTCTCTCCATTAAAGTTTTTAGTTTAGTATTTTCACTTACTAGGATGGAATATAGCAAACTAAGTTGTCTCTTATGAAGTTCTGCTGCAATTGGTATGGCGCCAATAAGTATATATACAGCAGCTGTTGAAGTTCTTACTGCTATGGATTAAAAGAATCTAATAGTTTTGATGTGGAATTGTCTTAATTCTCCCATTTGATAAATCTTGTATGCCGTTTTTGGGTTAAGACCTCCTTTTCCATTTAGTCATACTGGAATAAAAGAATACAAAGTCTTTATACAATACTTATATGTTCTTGTATATTTATTCTTGATTCGTTTTTGGATGATCGTATGATTCCTAAATGTGTCGTTTGGTTGTCAGTTTGTATTGTTTCATTTCCTAGTCTGATATTTTCCGATTGACCTTTTGACTTGATCCTTTCAGTCTTTATAAGAGTGTTTTTTTTGCGGATAGATATCACACCTGTGTTCACAAGAATATTTATATGCAATATCAAGCATTGCTTGAATCTCTGTTTCGTCTGTTGACATCAGTACAATATCATCTGCACATAATGGACTGCCACAGTATTCTAGTCCTATTGTTAGTCATAGGGCTCTTTTTTCTTGTTTCATTGGCAAGTCATTATTATATGACTTGTAGAAATGAGTAGATAGGACACTTGACTTTTTTTCTTATCGGATGCTATTGATAAATTAGTTTTCGCTCTTTACCATTATAGTGGTAAAAGGTAGAGCCTTGACTGTTCTCTAATGTATGGGTCAGACGATGTTTTTTACAGAACTCTTTCAAAAGTTTATCGTGGTTGTTATTTCTGATTGATATTAATGAACCATTTAGGTCGCCAGTTATAATAAAGCTATGCGAGTCATCATATTTATCTATTATTGATGAGATTTTGTCCAGATGTTCTCTATATTGTGGTTCAGATCCTGTCACCATCCTTGGCAAATAATTGTTGATTAAGATTACTTGATGAAGCTCTGTACATATTTCAATTAACACTATCCTTTCCTCTTTTTCAAGTTTTTTTTATTTTGTGCGAAAAAGTTTTGGGCCACAGAGTTGTAACACCGCTTTTCCCTCTTCTATTGCATGCATTGTGATTTTCTATATCAATGTTATTATCATCAAAACATGAGATATGGTAGTCATAATCGGGGACAATTTTCTGTAATATATTAGTCTAATATCCATGTAAGCAATGTTCTTGTAGACACAGAATATTTGAGTCGGACTGTAGTTCTTTGAGATAAGGAATGTTATCTTTGATCTCTTCAATCTTAAAGGAGACAATCTCTAGCACTGTCTGTTGGTTCTTTCTATTTCGATTTCTTCTTGATTTATATCTGGATGTATTAGGAGTCCGTCTCATGTCTAAAAAAATACATGATAGATGTGTACTGTTTTTCACATTGCTTCCTATAGAAGTCTTCTGTTCTGGTGGATTTTCTTTCCGTTGTTGTGGTATGACTTGCTATCTTTCTGAAGCTGAAGTTATATTGGAGAGGGTTGGTTTGGGATTGCTCTGACTGTATGGTGGTGGTAGTAGAAATTGTCTGTTTGGTTGTTTCTGATGTCGCATGTAGCTTCAGCTCTGTGTATATTTTGATGTTCCATACTTTGTGTTGGCAATTGATTAGCTGATTTTACTACAAATTTTTGATAATTTGCTGGTATACATGTATCTGTTTGGTAATTTTCCATTTGATGGAGGTAGTTTGGTGGTTGTCTGTCTTGTTTTAGTTGATGTTGGTTTTGAACCTGATGGACTGGTACATTCTGTTTTAAGGACTCTTGGCTTGAATTTTGCATCTGATAGTCTAGCATGTGTTGTATTTGTTCATCTTGATTCTGTTTCTGGTTGGTATGTCTTTGAGGCTGGTAATAATTTTGTTGGTAGCATTGTTATGTGTTAAAGCCCTTCCAATCTTATGATACTGGATCGTATTTACTTGGTTCATATGTTTTTTACTTTTCATATGATTGAATTAATCAATATTTCTGGCTTGGTGACTTTCATTGTGATCTTGGTGGTAAAAAGTTTATATACTGCAGAGCTGAAGGCTATCACAACGTTATTTCCTGGTTTAATGTTAATATCTATATGTTGGGAGTTACAGTTGTCAATCTTTTTCTGTAGAGCGTCCCATCTATTAAGACTGTATTCTCTTGTGTCATTTTCCCTGCAGAATTCTGATCTTCTTGTAATGAGGTAATTTGTGTTTTAAACCGGTTACTTCTTCTTAGCTTGGCCACTGCCATTTCTTGATTTTGGTTCGACAAGGCCATATTTTGTTGTTTGGAACAAGCTTATACCTTGCTTTGTTTAGTAAGCTTAGGAAGTAAAATTTTACCATGTTTTGCAGATGATTTTGGTTATGGAAAACATGTCGTTATTGTATGAACATGCACGAGCGTGACGTATTAATATGAGACATGTAAACATTTTGTGGCAGAGGGTATGCTACTGCTGAAAAATTGGAAGTTGTATTTATGTCAAAGATTCGTCATCTGTGTCAAAATCGAGGAAAATTATGAATCAGACCTTGTTCGGTAGTTTCTTTAATCCCACGTTCACTTTGCTATATGAGATGTAAGTACGCATTGAAATGCGGTTTGTTGAATGACAGGACCTCATCAATATATATGAAAATGAAATTAAAGAATTTTGTAAGATGCCTTTATTTTGTATTTGAGAAGGTTCTGTATAATTACATATATAAGATTACAAACACTAGTCGGCCGGTAAGAGTGCACAATAAGTACCCCTTGGAATACCGACTGTCTATTGAAATATCAATCCACCAACAGCAACAAATATGTTCACCAAAACCGAAAGAGTGAGATTTATGACAGAATCAATATGTTACTATTTAGACACTTACGATCACCTATTCGTGATATTAATTGTAAAACTTTCATGCAACACCTGTAAAGAAAGTGCATATCCCCATATATAAACGATTTTCTTTCCTTGTTTTTGCTATCACGTTCTGTCGTATATATAGTAACAATCGCGTCCTCTTTGTCTAGTTTATGGCATCACAACATGCGACTTATTACCACAACCTTTATTTGAAAGAGCACGACTGATGCCAATTTGTTTGCATGACCCATTCACAGGAGTTCACATCTTTATAAACTTATATCTTCGGACATGTTTCGGAATTTACATACATTTATAAAAAAAATGGCAATGTCTTACACTTATAAAGGAGTCATTAATTAAGGTGCATATAGTGCCGCCATATCTACCGAAGGGTTTACGTTGCTCAATTATTTTCTTTTTCAGGCAACACCTACTTCCATTGACCATGCAAACTGCCACACCATTTGCATTTTATGCTAAATATCAATACAATTAACATTTGATTCCTAATAATAATAATTGTACTGACATGATTTATAACTTTAAGGAAGATATTAAAACAAGAGGTTTAGATACAATCATCCCTTCGAAAATTTTACGGACGCCATCACGAGTGTTACCTACCGATTAGCCTTATCGTCGTGTTTGGGCGTACACGAGAAACACGACGGCTGCCTTCGGGATCCTGAGCACGTACGATCACCCCCGGTTTTTGATGTTGCTCAATCTTTTTTTTTCTATGTGTTGTTTTCTATATTATTGTCCTTTTGGTCTTTTTTCAGTTTTTTTTCGCCATGGCGTTGTCAGTTTATTTCGACATGAGTTTGAATGTCTCTTAGTATCTTTTGCCTCTCTTTTACACGACTGTGTCTTTTTTTTTTAGGATAGGCAACATCCAAAAACGGCATTCATATTATACAAAGTTAGATAATTAGTAATAAGGAAAGTTTTGTATAAGGTTGACATTTGTCAACTCATTTTATATGAATTGAAAGCATTGTATATATTTTCATCATATTAAATGTATGTGCTATTTTCTTACACTCATGACATTTGATATCTGTTTCAAATAATAAATTATCACACATCGTACAACATTGTAATTTATTTATAAAATATATATAGTCAATTGACAAGAAAGACATTGTGGTCAGGATCAGAAACGACATTAGACCCATTTTTTCTCTCCATTAAAGTACAGCTTTTGTTCTTTCTCACGAAGTCTGCAGCATGACATCCGTTCATATAAGCACAAATGTATGCACAGTGAATATCGCTATTGACGTGTGCTGTTTCAATGGTTCCGTCTAGTCCATCATAACTGTGACCTTCAAATCCACATGTATAAGGCAATGTCACTAAAAATATATTAAAGAAATAAAAAAAAATATTCAAGTTTCCTCCTAATTATTATTAATACCCTGGATAAATCAAATCAACGATCACTATGAAACCATTAAATATGCAGATAAACGCACCTAACAGGAGAAAACATTGATCAAGTGCAGACGATTAACTGCATTATTTAATATAAACCTTTCAGCAAATGCTAATAACAGTTTAGATTACTGCATAATATATAAATTCAATATATATCGAAAAAGACAACTCAAAAACAATAATCGTTTTTCCATCGTTTTTTGCCAACATATAAAATGATATAGATAATATAACAATGAAAAATGTTGATGTGGATCCGTGAGAAGTTTAAACAACTCGAAAACCAGAAGTGGTTAAATTTTACAATTTTAAAGAAATAATTGCCGGCAATGAAAAACACAGTGCAAGTAGAAAAGGTGCATAAACTGAAATCCTATTGATACTGTTCACGCATATTTTGGCATTGCACAAGGTCGTGTGTATCTCATATTGTTAATGACTCTTTTTGTACTTAATCCGTTGGATGTGTACTGATTGATACTTTGGTCTGTGAGAACATGATTTATTTATTAGTTGTTTTTTACTTTGAACTAGCTTTCAATAACTGCGATTACTCTTATATCGGTGCTTTGTGTTATTGATTTTTTATTTATTTTTATTTCCTTCTCCAGCTTTTTTTGCACAAAAGCAGTAGGATCTTATATAACACAGCCAAAATTACATAATGTCTTCCATCATAAAAAAATCTATTTGTAAATCATTACATTAAATAGTATTTCAGTTTTTTAAATATCAGAACATTGTTTTATGTTATTTGTTTTTGTGCTTTGTACCAATCTAGTGAGCTTAGTCTTTTGTTATTGATTTTTACAGTTTATTCTTATGCTATGCTACAACACCACTGTTTAAGGTTATGGGATTGCTGAGCGCTCACAAATATGTTTAACCCCGCAACATTCTTTATGTGCCTGTTCAAAGTTTTCCCATTTGAATTGTTTCACATTTTTCCTGATGCGGCCTTTTATAACTGACTACACGGTATGGGGTTTTTCATTGTTGAATGCCGTAATGTGACTTATAATTGCTTTTATCTTCTTCATTGGAACTCTGGAAGATAATTGTCTTATTGGTAATCATACCACAATTCCATATTTTCAGTTAATATAACCAATGATTAGATTGAATGAGAATCTGATCTGCTGGGGTTTTTTTTACCACCCACGTAATATATATTGTCAATTTTGTGAAGCGTTTTTTGAAACATAAAAACAAATAAACTAACCTGAATTTAAATCCTGCATAAATAGTCCATGTACCTCAACTTCACATAAAGCTAAAGGATTCGGATCTTTCAGCTGTATGCGAACATACCTTCCGATGGTCCCGTGAGAACAGGTAGCATTTAGATAGGTAGTTGCCTCCTGTCTGTGATGGCACAGTGAAGTAACTCCTTCAAACCAATGGGTTGAATTTTTGCATGGCTTAATGACGTCAATGTTGAAATTTGAGAGTCTATCAGCTTAAATACATAACAAAGACTACTACAATAATATACAACTTGTCGTAGTCACAATATCGTCCACGAAACATCTGTACTCATCTGTTATACAAATATCGGACTCACAAAATTGATTTAAAGTTATTTTCAAATTTAAAATCATGATAGCGGTTGCAGAGATCATTCACCGCAATTTAACCACAAAAAACTCTCTTTATGCAGTAATCCTCGATCAAGGAATTTTGACACAAAATTAAGACTTAAACCTTCGTATGAATAAACTCATCATCATAGATACCAGATTTAAATTTTGTAAGTCAAACGCGCCTTTCGTCTACAAAAGACTCGTCAGTGTCGATCGAACGTTAAAAAGGCCAAATAAAGTACGCAGTTGAAGAGCAATGAGGACCACATATTCTGAAAGATGCAGCTAAGGTAATCCACTGGGAATTACATACACTAAAAGTAGGCGATGGTGGAATATTATTATAAGCCCCTTCTGAGAAACCATTTAAAGTTTGATTCTAACCATGAGTACATAAGTCTTACAAATTTGTATTTTTGTTTTTGTTCTCATATAAACCGAGATTCAAATTATATGAATTCAAATATTAAGTTTTATTCATAAAAAACGTTGCAATATACATTCTTACTAATATCTATAGAAATACAAAAAATAATGTTGTCAACAATCATGTAAACATCTGTGCTGTGAACATTTTGCCTCATGTACTTATGATTAATGAAATTGACATGTTAATCCTCATGGCATATGACATGTATCACAGTTGTTTTCGATTCGTTATGTTCCGTTCGTTGATAAAGTCTAACGTTTGATTTTGTCAGTCTTCATGGACTTCCCATTTTGAAATTTACCTTGGAGTTCGGTATTTTTGTTGATGATTTGTTTTCTTAACACGACTGTCAATCGATAAATCCAGACAAATGATAGTAAAAGATTAACAGTAACGATGATAAAGTATTGCGATCGGATCGTGAAAGTTCTAATAATGGATCCTGAAGGAATTTGTATAAAAATGTCTGTAAACATTCATGAAAGACACCATACATACAGTTTGTTTTGCCAGCGGTGACCGCAATCTCCATAAGACTTATCAAAAGCAATCGAAAATCAAAACAGTTTGAAGGCCAAATCAAATATAAGAAGTTGACGAGCATTAAAACTGAAAATTCTGATAACATTAGTATTTCGAATAATTCAAAATTTATAAACAGTACAGTTACAGAAAATTAACCTATAAATGATATTTCATTTCAAAATTGTTCAGCAGTTTACCTACCGTTTCACACAACCACAAAAAGCAAATCGTTCATCAGCATTTAAATATCATACAAAATAATGACCAAATTACTTTTCACTGAATAATGTCGTTCTACACTACTACGAAATACGCGAGATCTAATGTTTTACAGCGATTTATGCAAAATATAAAAAAAAAAATCAGAACATTTATATAGATTTGATGCTTCTAATCCTGAATGAAAAAAATAGCTATATGACCATCTTTAAGAAGATCATAAAATATTAAATCTCGCATATTTCGTTTTGCAGCGTTCGTATCATTCTGTAATCATATAAAAAAAAATATCATTTTGATTTATTTAATTGAAGATTAGACTAACACGACTTATTGCTTTTCATTATTGTGCTGGGTTCATTCACGTTTTAATCTACTAATCACACGTGTAAACAAAACAAAAAGTATAATAAATGGTAATTAAAATCTTTATTCTGGTCATGTTTTGACTATACCAATCCAAATAATTCCTCGCTTAATTACAGATAAACATTGACAAGGGGGCATTAAGTGTTATTCTTGTCCGTCCGGCCGTCCTTACGTACGTCCCAAAATTGGTTTCCGTTCTCTAACTTTACTTTGCCTCAACCAAATGTTATGAAACTTATACACAATATAAAAATAAGAAGATGTGGTATGGTTGCCAATGAAACAACTCTCCGTTCTCGAGTTATGCCCCTTTATAACGTTATATGCAAGTGGAGGTATCATCTGTGTCCCAGGGACACATTCTCCATCATTTATTTTTAATAACCTGAACTAAAAAAAAAGCAATGACACTTTAATGTACTTTCAGACACACTTACGATTTAGTTTCAAATATAGCATAATATATTGAAATGTGACCCTACTCTATTCTATACGTTTTTTCGTTTTGTTAACTAAATGCACAGTTTCACTAAATATATAATGATTTTCATTTTGACAGACACTTTTTAAACGTATTTAACAAAAAAAGAACAACAAAAAAAAAAGAACCGCATTTTCGTTTTGTTAACTAAATGCACAGTTTCACTGAATAATGTTCATTTCGACAGACACTTTTTCAACGTATTGAACCTTTAATAATACTAAGAATTTTTTCCACATAATTTGATGTTGAATTGTATTTGATTTCATTCATTATCTGATCGGTAACTTTGACGACCTTATACCCCCATCACACTAGGACCACGATCCCACTACGACCTCAGAAATTATGAAAAATTTTGGAAGTCGTAGTGAGATCGTGGTAGTCGTGGTAAGGACGTGTAAAAGTCCACGTCCACGTCCACTTTTGAACATGCTCAAAACATTCGTAGTGCAGTCGTGGCCAAAACTAGTCGTAGTTGAAGCGTAGGAAGGTCGTAGTAAGGACGTAGTAAGATCGAGATGGGCGTAGAAGCATCGTATTGGAAATCGTGGTGCTATCGGGTAGCCAATTGAAAAGAATTCGCTGTGACCTTACTACGATTTCACTGTAACTATCCCTATTTTACTACGTCTTTATTACGCTTTTAATACGATATTAATACGATTATACTACGATGAGGAAGACAATAGTACGCTGCTACTACGCGCTTGCCGTCCTTAGTACGACCTAACTACGATACTACTATGTCCTAGACACGATAATTGCACGACCTCATTCTGTTGATATAAAATACGGATGCAATAACTTCTACCTGTAGTTCAACCATGGTCACACATGAGCAAAACCTACTTTTGCAATCTTTAATTCAGCTGCACTATATATATTTGGCTGATCAGGCTACACTTTAAGTTATAAGAGTTATAAGAAGTAGGAGAAGACATACTAGACAGCATAGGTTCTGTTGGGTGCGCCCTTGGCTTTATGTTGAAAAACCACTCCAGTTTGGGCATTACGACCGACTTATGAAAGGATTAAGGAAGGAGGATCAACAGTCGTTCTTTAATTTTTTAATGATGCCTACAGAAATGTTTGATGAACTTTTGAACAGAGTGAGTCCTCGAATTCAGACGATAGACACCCGATTCAGAAAGACATTAGATCCCGGTCTGAAAGTTGCTATTACCTTAAGGCACTTAGCTTCTGGCGATAGGTATACGATTTCAGAGTCTCGCGCAATACTATAAGTACTTTTATTCCTTAGGTTTTCTAGGCAATTATACAGGAATATAAAGACGAAGTCACATCCTGTCCAACAGAATCAAATGAATGGCGAGCTATTGCCGAAGAATTTCAGAGAAGATTGGTGTGGCGCACACGATGGAAAATATGTTGCTATTAGAAGTCCGCCTAAAAGCGGATCCTTGTTTCATAACTATAAAGGTTGTTTTCATTAGTCTCCTTGCCTTGGTGGATGCAGACTACACATGTTTATGGATAGATGCAGGAGGATATGGTTCCATGTCGGACGCCAAGATTTACATCGAGTCAGAATTAAAGGAGTGTTTGGAAGATAACACTATATGATTTCCAGAGTCAGATCCCTTACCTAATGACGACCTGAATATGCCTTACTTCATCTTGGGTGACGACGCATTTGGGTTGAGAACTTACCCCGGTATTTGATGAAGCCATATTCTAGAGCGCAGTGACAACGTAGTGGAGTCGTGGTTCGATCGTAGTAGACTCGTATTGAGATCGTAGGCGTACATTTAAATTAATTTAAAGTAATTTACTGATGTTCACATCTCGTAACTCGATTAGGAAGAGGCAAATTAAGGTCACAAACGAAAACTGAGAGAATCGTAAAAGGAACAGGGCAGGATAAGCATCTCCTGCTATATATGAATAAGAAGATGTGGTATGAGTGCCAATGAGACAACTTTACATCCAAGTCGCAATGTGTAAAAAGTAAACAATTATAGATCAAAGTACGGCCTTCAACACGGAGCCGTGGCTCACACCGAACAGCAAGCTGTAAAGGGCCCCAAAATGACTAGTGTAACACAATTCAAACAGGAAAACCAACGGTCTAATCTATATAAAAAAACGAGAAACGAGAAACACTTATGAACCACACCAACAAACGACAACCACTGAACAACAGGCTCCTGACTTAGGACAATTGCATAAAAATGCAGCGGGATTAAACGTTTTAACAGGCGCCAACCTTCACCCTAACCTGAAATACTGGCACACAATAAAATATCAATTGAAATGGCTTAACTCGAGCAAAAAGACATATTCACAAACAAGTAAATATACACTGAACGAAGAAGTTTGATCTATGACACAATATAAATAAAAAAGGTGTATCAATGTCACAAAGACAACTTCAACCTAGGACAAAATGGCGTTAAATAAAGTAACGTACACAGGTAAATTTAAATATAATAATTTTTTTGTTAGGAGTACCGAAACATTTTTAACAAAATAAATTTGTTGTTCATAGTACGAGTACAGAAGTGAAAATTTATCGTCATACTAAAGGCGGTACATATTCAAAATTGTAAGACAAGATTTAACACATAATAAGTAAACATTGAATAACAGAAATGCATTACAAATTGTGTCAACAGGTCAAATTAACACTAAAGTACTCCTAGTTACTGAAAGCTACTTAAAAGCCAAAAACAATTAATAATTAAAAACCAATTGTTCAAAGAACAATTGAAGGTCTTTCCACCCTTATTGCACATGTTTTGATAGGAAAATATTCACTTCCTATTTAAAATGTCAATTCATGTGACATAAATTGCTTGATTAACGTTGATTCTAAAAATATATGGTTTCTCAAAACTTTTGATTCAAATAAGGGAGAAAAGAAGTACTTCCGGTTTACAAAATTTCACTTCCGGTTTCATTTAATTGAACCTTACTTCACACTGATTCCAAAAATGTAAAGTTCTTGTAATTTTCACATGAGAATAATGCAAAAACGGCTACTTCCGGATTACAAAAGGTCACTTCCGATTGACCTTCTTCAAGGTCATATGTGAAAGACCTCATGAATTTATCATGTACCAATAAGAAGTTACACAAAAGGTCAGAATCTAGAATGTCAAATTCACATTTTTTGACCTTGACATCAATTTCAAGGTCATAAAGCAAAGGACCTCAAATCAAAAGAGCCTAGGTCTCTTCTAAATATGGTTTATGAGTTATATAACCAAACAGCTTATTTGAAATATAAGAGGGGAGAAAACTCTCGTTAAATGTCAACGTACATTTCAACCAAAATTTTGGTGTACCGGCATGTCTCAACTAACAAAATAGTAAAAATATTTTGTCGTTATCTGTGCAAATAAGCCAAAATCAAAATTTAAAATATGACCTTGACCTTTGACCTTGACCTCATTTTCATTTTGGTGGATCAAGAACCTCAAATCAAAAGAACCTAGATTTCTATAACTTATGTTTTATGAGTTACTATAACATTTCACTTATGTTAGATATAAAAGGGGAAATAACTCTCATATGGAGTCTCCGGAACGCTTCAGTCAAAATAGAAACGTAACATTCTGAGGATATAACGAGCAATTTGGAAACATAAATTTGTCGCCTTCTTTTACGGTTGCGAAGGAGATGTCATAACAAGAAAAACAGTGTTCGGGGAGATAACTCTCACAAAGTAAAGTGTTCGGTTACACAGGGTCAGTTTCAAAAGCGTATAAACTGTTCGATATCACATACCAAAAATGTAAGCGACATCTTTTGAAATAACAATACCGCGAAAGAAAAAAATTAGGCGGAAGAAAAAAAATAAAATAATCAGAACAAAAGCAATAGGTCTTTCCACGGACAGTCAAAGAAGACATGACTTGTGCAATGCCAAAATGCATCACCCGCCATTCTAACAATAATCCGCCAAAATTCACATATTTTACATATGCAACACCTCGTCTTGAAACATTGTCTCTTTCGCATGAAATTTATAGTGTTGTTCTCATTTTTTTTAAAACTTGCCATTTAACCTTTTAAAAATAATAAAAAATAATGTTTCAAACCAAGCTGGGGTTGTTAGTTTAAAGCGATTCTGCATACAGATTTAGCTATCGTTTTGTTTTGTTTTTGGGGGGAGGGGTAGCATTTACATTTTTTCAAACAAACGCACTTCAAAATAACTGAAATACTTATTTGATAGAATTGTTAAAACTGTCTATATTTCTGATTTGCTTCTTTTCGAAGTACATGGTAAGTTATACCTGGTTTTACAGCTAGCTAAACCTCCCACTTGTAGGACAATTGACTATAGATTGCATGCTATTTATCGCAGAAGTATAACAATAACACCGAAATCCAGGTTAAATTCAAAAAGGGGAAAGACCATAAAATCTGGCAAAAGCATACCTAAGACTTTAATTATCAACCAACGGAACGAATTGAAATCAACTATTCCTGACCGACGAAAATGGTAGGTTAAACTTGATGATTTAAATGGTTAAGGTAGCAACAGTCTAATGATGATTTGTTAGTGAATTTTTTTTTATCACATTATTTTAAAGTATTTATCCATCTGAACATTTTGTAAAAATTCCAGAGTCATTATGATGTCACAACACCATGAACAGGGAGTAAATTAATAATTAACGTATGTAAATAAAAGCACATGGTAAATACTTTATATATAAGAGCATAAAGGAGAAGCTAATCATTCAATCATCTGTTGATACCAAGTGTCCAGCTGTTAATCTCTGACCACAAAAAAAATAATGTGGTCTTATCTTATTATTTTGAAATCAAACTTAATTTATATAATGATGGAGGTAAATAAAGAAAAATTTAAAAGAAAAAAATGTAGAGGGAATAAAATCTAAAGTAAGACATATATAGAAAGACATAAATGTGTAAGAGTAGCTTAAAAAAAATTTTGAAAGCCTCTGACAAATGTTCTTACTAAACCAAAAGAATGTGAATTGAATATGACACCAGCAACAACCCTTATTCTAGACAAATCACCTTGATATAACAGTATTTTTTTTTTAATTTGTGCTGTAAGAAGTAGCTATTTTGTAGAGCACAGTAGGTTGTATGAAAATATCTTTCATTGCATAGTTTTAAGTTTCTAGTAAATTTCACAGTACTATATATTTCTTTTTAAATATGAATAATAACTATAATTTTATAGTGAGAACTATGTTAAATATTGATTATATGCAACTGATCACTCTTAATATTCTCTTATCTTATACTGTCTGGACAGGTGAGGAGCTCTGACCATATTTAATTACTACGTTAAGGAATGGACAGTGCACAAATCATTCAAAATTTACAGTTTAAGAGTACAAAAGACACAAATTGTGTGGTTCTATTGATAAAGTAATGGTGTCAGAACACTCCTGGGGTGTTCCCAGAGGAATGTTTATATTTATGTTGCATTTATATGGGTTCAAAGAAGGATATTCAGTTTTTAGATGATTTTTTAAAACAATTTTTCATGGGAATTGTCATAAAAAAATAAAATAGAATCTTTATTGGTGCCCGCTTTGGTTTGGCTTTGATATATGTGATTAAAGGGAGTATTTTCTACAAAACTGTGTCCCAGTTTTTGGATAATTTGTTTCTGAATGAATTTGTAGGTCTTCAAAGATGAAAGGTGAAATGAGGTTTTGCACCCAGCAGTTAAATCAATATATCTTCTAATTGGAGGCAAAAATCAAAAATCTGAGACATGGTTTTGTGGCCAATGGTCAATTAAAGGGATGAAAACAGATTTTTACTACCATTTGACCTGAATGTGCTATTTTCATCCAAGTTGGGAGAACACGTTTTTGGCAGTTAATGAGATATATTTTTTAATTGATTAAACCAAAAATAATTTTATCTATAAATTCAGAAAGTGTAATATTTCAGCTTAAAAATGAGTTAATGATTTTAAAAATCCATTGAGTAGTTTTGGAGAAATTAATCTTTAAAGACTGTTGGTTGGAATCAGAAAAGTCAGACTGTAGTGCTACCTTAATTGTGCATTTAAGAAAAATGAATGTTCAAACATATAGATAAAAATCCAATTTGCTGACTTTTTTATTCGTCTTTAATCAAGAACGAAATATGAATAATATTACAGGGATAATAAAAAAAAATCTTAATTATTCGTAAATGATAGCGGAGTGAAGAACGAATGTTGTGAAATATTTTATAGTTTTTTAAACACTCCCTTAAATTAAGTGTTCACATTATTTTTTCGCAATTTTCTCTGTTTATATTCATGACATAGCAAAACAGTATAACTGTCGACCTGCCCTCAAGATTAAATACTAAATATTCTTTTAATTTCATTGTTTTTGTGGATTGAGGAACAAGTGGATTTTTGTAGATATTTATCGCTGTTTTCTAAAATTTAACATGCAAGTCTACATGAAATTGGTATTCCCTTTAACATTTAAATTCTGAGTTCACCTATACCAATAACAGCAATGGATTGAGGATTAACTGCGTTTTCGTGGATCTTATCGAAGTGATATTGATATATTTTTCAAGCAACCCTAAAAGAAGTTGATATTTTGATGAAAACTCATATAATTGGTTCAACATGTTCAACTGTTCCAATGAAATCATGAATTACATGTTCAGATGTGTATGGCCACAAGTTCAAAAAATAGATTATCGGTGGTTGTCGTGTGCTGCTGTATAGAATATTAGTTTTTCGTTCATTATTTTGAACATTAATATTATCAGGTAGTTAGTTTTCTCGTTTGAATGGCTTTACATTTGTCATTTCGTGGCCTTTTATAGCGGACTGTAAGGTATGGGTTTTGCTCATTGTTGAAGGCCGTACGGTGACCTATAATTGATAATTGCTATGTCATTTGGTCTCTGGTGGAGAGTTGTCTCATTGACAATCATACCACATCTTCTTATTCTTATATCATGTTAGTTCAACAACAAAAAGGTTGTGATGTCACTTAATCAAAAATGTTTAAAACCCTCGTAAAAATACAAATGCTTGTATAAGGGACAAAAAGTGCCGATATCATACCTTCTCCTTTAAAATAAAATTGAGAATGGAAACGGGGAATGTGTCAAAGAGACAATAATCCGACCATAGAACAGAACACAGCGAGAAAATCCCGCACCCGGAGACGGGCTTAAGCTGGCTCCTAAACAATAATATTTACTAGTTTAGCGAAAATGGACGCCACACTAAACTCCGAAACGTATAAATGAACCAAAATTAAACAACAGACAAGTCTTAGTATTCATTAGAATTTACCACGAAAGTATATCTTATAAAAAAAAATAAGAAATATATTATTGATAACTTACAACAACAGTCTGTTCTACCAAAAATAACAACATTACTGATAGCATAAATTGCTCCAAGATCTACTGCCCACCAATGACGTTGATCGTCATGTGGATCAGTGTGTGAACACCCAGTGCTCGGCACAAGATTTTGTTCGTAATCTCCATCTACTGCTTTTGCAGACTTTCTAATGCTATCAGCATTGAATGTTGACTGGGTGGTTTGTTTGTGCTTTGCAACGTTCATTGCAACTGTAATATAAAATGGCATAAATAAATAAAAAAAAATTTCTTGTTTAAAATAAATTGTTATGCGTGTAGGACTGAATGATTCTTTCATGAGTGGGTGTGTAAATACAAAAGTTGGCAAGTAATGTCATGTAAAAATATAGTCTATATACATTTATAGAAACTTGTACTCGACGACAGTATGTCACGTAGAGATTGAGGCAATGAATTGCTTCTACAGTCCTCCGCTTAAGTTGTCGACACCCATTCTAATTAACCATCCAAACATCGTTTCGCAATGGTGCCGATTAGAATATTAAAAAATATGGAACAGTAGTTTACCAATATTCAATGTTGTATCATCAATTTTGTATATATAAATGAAGAGGCAGTAAAACTAGTAGTATTGACAAACAGTCAGTGAACAAGTTGTACAAAAAGATTTGGAAACAAGAGGCTCCTCAGAGCCTTTATATGTCACTGGACAAAAAAACATGTCATTTTTAACTTTACTCTCGCCATATTGCAACATTGCAATAGAATATACAACTCGAAATTTACTTAATATACCTAAACGTTTACTTAGTCTTTGGTCGCTATTGAAAAAGGAGAGTATTTGACTTTCAAAATAAATATCAAACAGTTGTCGATGCACTCGAAATCTATGGACAATAATTCAAAGGGACTATGTATGAAAAGTGTTTTATGGAACATGATCTTCTATAGGTTTTGGCTGTGAAATATATGGCAAAAAAGATAGGCGCAATATACCAAAGGGACATTCAAACTCATAAGTCGAAAATAAACTGACAACGCATTGAAAATAAAGAAAAAAAGGAGGGAATCTCAAAGAAAAACAACAGTACACAAAATACAACATAGACTGAGCAACAAAAACCCCATCAAAAACTGGGGATGATTCCAGATGCTACGGAAGGGTAAGCACATCCTGCTTCACATGTGGCATCCGTTAGAAAGTAAGAAAAATAAAAATAGACGAAATTTAAATCGAAATAAAAAAAAACTTTTTATAGGTCAATATTACCAATTCATTTAAGGTAGTCGGAGTAGTGACAATTTGAGACATGTGATTAAATTAAAGAACTGAGATGAATTTTTTCTGCACTTTTGGAAACCACTAAAAGTCCTTTCCTTAAAGTTAATTAAGGGTTACATAGCCTTTTGTTGTTTCAATGCTGAACATACGGACCTTTTAAAGAAAATCGATAGTCTTTCTCCTTGTACTCTAATATTTGACTTAATCGATAAAAGATAATAGCATGTAATGCTACAAATGATTTTCCTAAAAAAAAATTATGAAATATTTAAAGTACACCTTCTAAGAAGCGCTTGACTTAAGTGACTCACCACGAAGTTCAGGACTTTTTGTAAACAAGAAACGGTAGCATTAGATAGAGAAACAAATGAATTAATCTATGAAAACTCTGTATAGTAAAGTCTGTGTTGTATATGTAAAAATCTTCACTTGATTTGCCATGAAATCCTCATTTTCCATTGTAACAATAAACATAATTCATTTAAACGACGTTTCTTCTTGGTAAACATGTATGTTAAAAATGGTATATCTCTTATGTTAAGTTTCTTCTACACAATACAAACTTTGATATTCAAATGAGATAAATATTTGTATATTCAACAAGACCGAGTCAGGTACTTAAAAACAACAATAAAATGTTTAAACTTAATAGAATATTAATAGGAAGTAATTAACAACCAAAAGTCGATATTTAATTTTCTGCACTGGTAAAGTTGTGTTGCAATTTTTTTTTCATTATACATGACTATTCATTACATTCTCTCACACACTTATCAGATGCAAATTTGCTAGTTGCTATGTCTTTTAATAATATCTATAAATGAAACACAGAATTTAAAAATATTTTTTATTAAATTTAAATAAAACAATGTTTTCTACAGGAAATTAAATTCGTCTTCAATTATTTACAATTCGCCTTGATTTGAAATTACGTCGTCAACTGTTTTAAATTGGATGGAATTCATTTCTTTAAAATCTTTTTTTTTAATTTGATACAGAATGAAATAGTCTTGCATAGTCATGAAGACATAACGGAGATAATTTTATCTCCATACCGCATTATAATAACATAAACGGAACTAATATGAAGATCTATAAACAAAAAAGGACCAAAAAGTATAGCCAAAGCTGGACAAGGAATTAGAGCTTTGCATGAGGGAGATACATTCCTTAATTTTAAATAATTTCCAAAATTTGTAACAGCAAATTTTAATAACATAAAATCCATATTTTCATGCCAGTACTTTGTACTGGGCTGGTGATACCCTCGGGGACTATCAGTTCACCAGCAGAGGCATCGACCCAGTGGTAGTAATAACATAAACGGTACCAATTGTTTTGCACCAGATGCGCATTTCGACAATCAATGTCTCTTCAGTGATGCTCGAGGCCAAAATATTTGAAAGTCCAAAGCTTATTAAAAATATGAAGACCTATAAACAAAAAAGGACCAAAAAGTGTAGCCAAAGCTGGGCAAGGAATCAGAGCTTTACATGAGGGAGATACATTCCTTAATTTTAAATAATTTCCAAAATTTTGTAACAGCAAATTTTAATAACATAAAATCCGTATTTTCATGCCAGTACCAAAGTACTGGCTACTGGGCTGGTGATATAAAACTCACATCATTTTACTTAATAGAAATATAAAAGTTAAGAATGAAGTAATATTAAGTTAGAGGCAACAGCAGTTTACACTGTTGAAATCTCAGAAATTCCTTCAGAAGGTTAAAATCAAGATACAACGGAACCTTAGGGTATGGTATGAGCTCCAAGTATAAGGAGACCGGTATGTCGGCAGGGTTTGTTAGACGTCCTAGGAAATGCAAAAAACAAATATGTTGAGTAACCTGCATATTCTCTTTTAGCTACAAAAGTAAAATTAAATTTTTGATATTATTAATGATCACTAGTGAGAATTACAAAACAAAATTTAAGATTAAGATTTGGTGATGTATACAAAGATTATGAACATGGAAATAATGATATTTGAAGATGATTATGAAACGAGAGAAACTATTTTCAGATTGAACTGAGCGTTTCGATTACCCTGGTTTGAACTATTTAACGGCAATTATAGTACAGAAAGGCATTAAGGGCTTACTAAAGTCAAAGTGTAACACATTGCATAACTTTTTGGAAAAACACAGCTTATCACTTTATTACGTAATTATTTTTATTTGAAGTCTTATTCATGACATTTATGATTTTGGCACAGTGCGAAGAAAACTGAAATGGAGATGTTCAACCTTTCTATCCTTTGTTCCATAGTTTGTAATTTCAAGAGAGGATTCATTTTCTGAACTTATATTGATGGATTGTTTTTTGCTTGCTTACCAGTGTATTAATTTATGTTTATTCATGACGATTATAGGGTATGAAAAGACAAAGACATCTACCACTCTACTTTTGTCAGAAGCTTAATCACCGACTACCTATTTAAAAATATATGTTTGTGGTCAACGAAATGAGGATTAGGTTGGCATTTTAAAACTAAATGTCTCTTCAGTGATGCTCGAGGCCAAACTATTTGAAACAAAACGATTTTTTATCAATCGTTGAATAGCTGATCCAACCCTAATAGAGCAGTAACTGATATGACTGTGATAGCTGACATTTAGTTTTTTTTTTTGTTGAAATTTTGTAACTTAAAGTGTGATTTTCTTTTTTACAATGTTTTGTGAATATATTCTTCTGTTTCTGTTATTTTTTGTTATATTGGTTTCGATAGCCGCTTTATCTTTGTACATTTTATCTCAATTTAGTCAATCGGAAAAATATCAATTTTAAACATTTTCAGAGAGCAAACTTCAAAAACTCTTTGAGAAAATTCTGGTCAATTATACATGTATAGGTGAGCACTTTTTTTTAACGATTTGAACCTTACCTGCAAATATATTGTGACGTATGTATTTACAATCTATTGAAATATCTGTAAATTTAAGAATAATGTAAATGGTTGTCGAACCTTTTTAAATGAAAAAAGAGTGGCTGATGGCAGACCCTTGATAGCTTCTGTTTCATTCGTAATTCACAACTTTAAAGACGATTCAGACCTTAAAGATTTGTAAAGACCACTTGCATATTTGTTAAGATCTCTACGAATATTTAGTTAGTTATTTCGTTTTGATGTCTCTACCATATAAACCATCATCTCTTCTATTAAAACATAGTTAAAGTGTTTTCTGAGTAAAGCAAGAAATAGTTATAATCTGATCCAAAATCATTTAGTAGATATAGACAATGCAATTTCCCATTGGAACTCCTTTTATGCTTAAAAACTCATCAGAGATACCAGGCTTATAATTTAGTACGACAGACAAGCGTTTTGTCTGAATAAGACTCCTAAATGGTGCTTGCATCAAAACAGTTGGAAAGTCAAATTAAACACGAAGTTGAAGATCATTAAGGTGGTACCAAACACCTTGACTAAAATTAATTTGGCTCGTTTAATTTTCAAAAATTTTGACAAAATATTTACTTTGACCCTTTGAAAAAAATATTAAAATTCCAAAAAACTTGGAAAAAATTCATTGGATATATAGCAGTTTGATAATCACTAATTTTGATCATTGAGAAGCTTAATATTTCCTTAACAATAAAACGTGATTAAAACGTTCAGCTGATTTTTACAGTGTTACCTCCCTGTAGTGTTATGTACCACCTTAAAAATTGTAAATTCCAAAGTTCTGACAAATACGACAGAGAAAAAAATCCTATCCTGTGATGGAAAGTCCATATGCACCCCTTATGTTTGGCTAATTTGAAAACAAAGGGTTGTGTGTTATTTTGTCTACATTCATATGCCTCGGGCTTCTCAGAGTTTAAGCTTATACTTAAATTATGTACTACCCCTCCATTTAATTGAAGTCTTCATGAGAACTCAATTTGATAGCTTTCCAACTCTATTTATACTGGTAAAGTCCATATGTTGTGTCTTTATGAGATTAAACAGGGATATCATACCTGGGAACCAGTAGCTAAACAAAGGAAAATATCTAAGAATATTGAGTATCTCCCCGAAAGAGGCGTGGTAAGTGAATCCGAAGTATTTACAAAGTACAACCTTTATTTACATTAATTCATTAAGAAATACAATTTGAATCACAATAAAACGTATTTCTTTGAATCATAGCTTAAAATAAATCACTACATACAACTCTTAACTTTGCTTTTACAGTATACTAGAAGATGCCCGCGAAATCGCGGTACAATTGGGCAAGTGTTGAAACAAAGAGTGTCAACATAAAAAGGGGGAGGGGTCCGGACGTCGGGTGCCTGTTTTTACACATAAAAAGGGGGAGGATCACTTCGACACGTTCAACGCCCATTTCATTTTTGGACAGTTCTGCACCTGAGTTAAAAGGGTGGATGTCGTTTAATTTAACAAAATGATGCACTTACAATACAATACAGGATCTTTATAGGCCTAACGTTCTGTCCTATTTTCTATCCTTTTTTCTTACTTTTACTTGGATTTCGCGGGCAGTACGTCGACTGAGCATGCGCGAAAGCGTATAAGACATCGATCGATAACGGTCTCCGAATTTGGATATTTTCTCAAAAATTGGCGTTTTCTGTGGAAAAAAAGTTTGTTTCAAAGACAAATTTAGGAAGTACAAAACACTACATTTATACGTCATATCACAAATATTTCCGACTTTATATGGTTTCAGAGGAGTTGCGGCTCAATGAAATCGGTCTCTTCCTTAAGAAGTATAAATGTAAGATGTTTAATACTCCCTCCTCTGTTACAATTTTTGAAGAATTTAAAAACATGACATAAATTACTGTTAGCCTGAATTATGTGCATTTTTCCTGACATGAAATTCCTAAAACCTGTATGAAACTACTTTGAAAATATTTCAAAATACTATAAAGATATACTTTAATTGTAATTCATTCCAAAATTCTTCAAGATTATATTAAGTATCAAATTCTGCCACTTTCAATGTCTACAGCTTACGTTTTACTAATTGCCAATTATCTTTCAAAGTTTTCAATTTCTTCCTAAATTGGCCATTTGAAAATTCGCATCACAATGTTTTCAAATCTAACCATATATCTAACATAATTGGCCTAATATATTAGCTATTAGTGTTAAAACAAAGCCATGTTTGCAATAGTTGTATTTATGAAGTTACTATTTTGATACACAAATTCTGTTTTCATAGCTGTAAAGGCCGATTTTTTGTCTATACAAATGACCTTTATAAATATAAAATCACTGCCTGTACATGTTAGGTTATCTGTTTTTCTGAACCAGGAGTAAGTGATTTTTCCCTAGTTTCCCCTGTGGTCTTAAATTTGCTAAATCATTCTGCTATTTAAGTGAAAATGGAATACTAACTTTATTTTTAGACGAGAACACACTATTGTGAGAAACACCCTAACAAAAATGTTTATCACATATCAATGATTTCCATAGACTGCAAAAGTAAATAAGCATTTCCTAACAGTTCAAACTACATATGCATATTTTATGAAATTAATATACATAACGGGCTTAGGGTAAACTATGGAAACTGTAAACAGAATCTACGCTGAGACATCATATTTTAGACGAAGGATTCCTCTATCTTAATGAAAGATTTAAAATGTAATTAATGCTTTAAAATTGAATTAAACACTTCATAAATTTTGTGGGACCAAAGCACTTAAAACTTTTGGATTTATGTTCATTATAAAACTTTATAGATTGGTTAATTTCATTGAAATCTCTCATGATAAACGAGATTTGGCGAAAATCAGATTTTTCACTTTTTTCAACTTATTTACCAATTTTTTGGTCATTTGAATTTATTTTACCTTTTAATATCTGCTTACAAATATGTGAATTGAGAAGATGCCGATCAACATTTTTAACACAATTAATGAACAAAAGAGAGGCGAAAGTTACCAAAGGGACATTTAAACTTATAAGTTGAAAATAAACTGACAACGCCATGGCTAAAAAATAAAAAGACAAACAGACAACCAACAGTACACAAATCACAACATAGAGAACTGAAGACTGAGCAACACGAACCCCACAAAAAATGGGGGGGGGGGGGGGGGGTGATCTCAGGTGCTTTGGAAGAGTAGACAGATCCTGCTCCACATTTGGCACCCGTCGTGTTGCTCATGTTAGTACAAACCCGGTAATAAGTCTATAAAGTACGTCTTTCAACGGAATGCATGTTTGTATTTATTGAAAGTTCAAGATATGTCATATACTTAAAGAGATATCTTCTATTTTTATCCCATATCGTATAAAATGTACTATCTTATGAATTTTATAATATTGTATTATATTAAAAAAGATATCGTATGAAAACTATAAGCTATCTTATATATTTTTCTTAATGCGATATCATTAAATATTAGAAATGCTTCAATATATAATATACATGTGTTGTGTTTAAGTCACTTTGTAAATTAAACATATTAAGTGTACAGTCTTAAATAAATGTAAAGATGTCGTATGGCAGCACTTATGTGTATGAAATAAATTATCATTGGAATGTTCATATTTTACCAAACTTTGAATTGTTTTTAATACTAAGGATTTTCTGTCACAGGAATAGATAACCTTTGCTGTATTTGACATAAAGTTTCGGACTTTTGGTCCTCAATGCTCTTTAACTTCGTATTTTGTTTGACCTTTTAACTTATATGATTCGAGTGTCACTGAAGAGACATTTATTGACGAAATGCGCATCTGGTGCAGAAAAAATTGGTAACGTTAATGTTATTACTACCACGGGGTCGATACCTTTGCTGGTGGACTTTTAGTCTCCGATGTTATCACCAGCCCAGTATGACAGTAGCCAGTACTTCGGTATTGGCATGGAAATATGGATATTGTGTTAATAACATTTTCTGTTACAAAATTTTGGAAATTATTCAAATTATAATCTCCCCCTTCCAAAGCTCTGATTTCTTGTTTGGCTTTTGCTATACTATTTTGTTCATTTTGATTTATGAGCTCTCCGTATTTTAAGTTTTTCATTTATAAATAATTTTGGCCTCGCACGTCTCTGGAGAGACATTTATTGTCGAAATGTGCATTTGGTGCAAAATAATGATACTGTAAATGTTAGCACTTGTGAGTCTTTTATTTTACGAAACGCCCGTATGGTGTACATAATTAGAAGACTATCATCTTTGATGATTTTTTATAGCTATTTGAGTCTTTGCTTTTCTATCTCATTGACGTTCTCTAACCAAATTATTTTTGTAGAGTACTTTTTTTCACTATCATCCCGTTCTTACATTCTAAGTTTCACATAATCGCTTCTATTTATATGCCAGACACGCCTTCCATCTACAAAAGACTCATCAGTGACGCTCGAATCAAAACAATAAAAAAACTAAATAAAGTACAAAGTTGAAGAGCATTGAGGACCCAAAATTCCGAAGGTTTTGCCAAAAACAGCTAAGGTTATCTATTACAAACTCACAATTCCATGTAAAAAAAAAACAACGAAAGACGACGAAATCACAAACAATTTCACAAAACATTACATAGAAAACTAAAGACTCATGAGCAACACGAACCGCAACAAAAACTTGGGGTGATATCATTCAATATGTTAAAGGAAATTTTTCATTTCAAATTAGAATACATAGGTGAGGTGATATAAATATTGCAGTCTAGTTATAGTTACTGATCCGCTTTGTAGTTATAGTTTGACAAGAAAGCATATCTTTTATCATAACTTGGTTTTACATTTAGAGCAAATCTAAAACAATTGTTTGTTATTTTTCTATAACATTTGCGAACGTCTAGAAATGACAGTGTCTCATTTTTTTTCTAAAGCAAAAGTTATACTCGATGGCGTATTAAATGGCTGCAAGTAAACTTACCACAATAATTTGCGAAAAAAATAAAAGTTGTCCACAAGATCAAAACTGATTTCATAACGGGTTTTCAATTGCACGTTTTCATCTACGGCGGTTTGACGGTAAAGAGATAAACCAGTCAATAACCATTAAGCTGGGGAAAACCAGCTTCAAAATTATCGAATTAAAATCTTGTATCGATTAACCTGCGATATGCATGTTTAAATGTACATATAGACATGAGGAAATGTGGAATGATTTCCAATAAGACAAGTGATATTTCAATTCGAGGCAACGGTAGTTTAGCGATGCTCAAATATCGTAAATCCATTTCGAATATACAGAACAAAAAATAAATACTAATTATGAGGGAAACGTGAAAACTCCAAATGCACTCGCGTGTCGCATCTATTGAGATTTGTAAACGTTATACGACGGGGTAGAAAATATGAAGTTAAAATGTGAAAGCTATGTATTCGTCACATTTGTCATAGATCATAGTTTGAGATCGTCCATGAACGCCATTACAAATTTATAAGCTGGTAATTATTAAAATATATGTTCCTTTGGACAAATCTAAACGTCAAACACCCCCCAGCTAACATCTGAGAAAAGACAAAAGACATCTGTACACTGTATTCGAGCTCATTTTATTTTAAAAGACAAAAATGGCATTACAGATTATTATCTTTTCAAATTCTAGTTCTAGAAAAGAAAAATTTACACCTCTAGCAGAAAAAACTACATTATTAGATTCCATATTAAGAATTTTCCACCAATGACAAATCATTAAAGATATCACAGTTGACATTTAAAACAACTTATGAACATACTAATTATCTGTGATAGTAAACATACAAATACAAGTAAACCAAATAATATGGCGCCTGTTAAAACGTTTAAACCCGCTGCATTTTTATGCACCTGTCCTAAGTCAACAGCCTGTTGTTCAATGGTTGTCGTTTGTTGGTGTGGTTCATAAGTGTTTCTCGTTTCTCGTTTTTTATATAGATTAGACCGTTGGTTTTCCTGTTTGAATTGTTTTACACTAGTCTTTTTGGGGCCCTTTATAGCTTGCTGTTCGGTGTGAGCCAAGACTCCGTGTTGAAGGCCGTACTTTGAACTATAATTGTTTACTTTTTACACATTTTGACTTGGATGGATAGTTGTCTCATTGGCACTCATACCACATCTTCTTATTTACAAATAATATGAAGTAACATTGTGCTATGTGTTTGTCCTTCTCGTAGTTTTTTATGATGATTAGTTTTTATTCTAGCAACAAATCAAAGAATAAGTACGAGTATCGTACTTGTTTTAAATGATAAAAAATACATACACACGTTCTTTCATACCTACGTTTTCGAAGAACTTAATATATTTTTTTTTTCAATAATTTATTTTAAGATATCCATATTGCAGCTATTCATGAATAAATAGAAAAAAATATACCATCCTCATACATCTAATTGGAGCGCATCCAGGTTGACTTCCTTCGCCTCAGTAAGGGACATAGAAGGGCAGTCACAACTTGGGAAATGAAATATATGAAATACTATTTTACCCTAACTCAGTTTGAACAGTTGTTTTGTCATTCTTGAAATCCCGCCATTGTGTTATTGTGCTTTGGTTATTTTTGTATTCTTGTCTTTCATTTTTGCTTATGTACTTTGTCTTTAGAGTGTCTAAATGCCATTTTGTTTTTCTTTGTTGAAATAGTTATTTGTTTTTATAGTGATTAAGATTATAGCACAATGTTGACTGCTTTTTTCCAATTTTTGACATTTTTACCTATTATGTCTGTATGTTTTGCTCACACATTGTTGTCAATATAATCGAATTCTATATGACTGTCATACAAGTCAGAGATTTAGCCAGCTATAAAACCAGGTTTAATTGTCTACATGAGGAAATTCCTGTACCAAGTCAGGAATATGGCAGTTGTTTTCTGTTCGTTTGATGAGTTTGAGCTTTTGATTTTGCCATTTCATTAGGGACTTTCCGTTTTGAATTTTCCTTGGGGTTTGGTATTTTTGTTATTTTACTTTTTAAACACTTTCGTACAAATGTACTTTTTCTCAAAAAGTTCATCAGAAAGTAAGAATACCTAATTGGTGAATATTAAGTGTATACTTAACAAATAATACAGGATGGTTGAGTTATGGATTTAAGATGCTGACGCTGGGTATCATTTTATTTACTATATACAGTTTTTCCTTTATTTGTCTTTGTCCTATTATGTTCCTTTTGGTCGCATCAAAGAAATGAAATGTATGAACTACTATTTTACCCAAATTTAGTTTAAACAGCTGTTTTGTCATTCTTGAAATGGTTTTAACACTCTCATCATTTTTTCTCAAAACTTTCATCGGAAAGTGAAAATACCTAGTAGATAAATATTAAGGATGTATTCTTCTGATATTTCAGTCTCGTTGAAATCTCGTTCGGGAATTATTTCCAAAATATGTGATACTAGTGGAAAATATTAATGAATATAAAAAAATATTATAATCAAACTAAACTCTGTGAAAAAATTGTGTACAATAAGTTGTTTTTGAGTAATAAAATTTTCAAATTTTATAACCAACCCGGTCGGTGTCATCAGCAAAAATGTTGAGAAAATGGGTGAGGGGTACAAAGAAATGATTTTACCAAAAATATGTACATCCCATATATTTTTTTTCTTTTCAAAATTCTTAGATATGTATTTTTTCAATCATTTATTACAAAGAATTTGAAAATCAGGTTAAGAAAAAAAGTTTAATTCTAGAAATTTCTGGCTCCTCAGAGGTGTATATCCTTAAGTGTATAACTTCAAAATTATACAGGATGGTCTTGAGTTAAGAATTGTATGTGCTCACGTTGTGTATCATTTTATTCACTAAATACAGTTTTCCCTTTATTTGTCTTTGTCCTATTATAAGTCCACATGATTTTACAATTATCATATATACAAATATTTATTCAAATAGAAAACTCTTGAAAAACACTTTTTCTCACAACAATACTTATTTATCAGAATTATAGCCTTAAAGAAATCACTGCATATACTCTAACTTTTCTTTTAAAACACATTTCATACCCTTACCCCTGTTTCAATTTTTTTAAGAATTTGAAAACAAGACTTTAATTATTGTCAGCCTACCCTATGTGCATGTTTTCTGACATGAAATGTCTAGAACGTGTTTGAAACTATTCTTATAACAATTTAAAAGCATTTCAGAATACTATAAATGTAAAGATTAGTAGTTAATCATTTCAACATTCAAGATTATATAAAGTATCCAATCCTGCCTTAGTCTCAAGTCCACATCTTACCTTATGCCTATTTGTCAATTAAAGTTAACAATTTCTATCTCAAATGGTCAGTGTAAAAATGTTGTCACAACAATATCATCTCTTACCATATATCTAACATAATTAAGCTATGATCTAGAAGTGTTTAAACAAAGCCATATTTTCTAAAGTTGTATGTATGAAGTTACCAGTCTAATGTATGACTTCACTAAAAGTTTTATAGAACTGACTGCTAACATCTGTTTTTTGCATAATTTTAAAGCACAGTTATTGATTTCTATACAAAAGACTTTAAAATGATAAAATCATAGCATTTACAGGTTAAATTATCTGTTTTGTGACCCAGGGGGTAGGCATTTTTCTGTTTATTTTGCCACTGGGGCCTCACATTTGCTAAATTATTCTGCCTTTTCTGTCAATATGAAATATGAAGTACATTTTTAGGAAAGAACACACTATTGTTAGTTTTATTGAGGTATTTTTGTATTTCTAGCTTGTATTTTTTTATGCCGCGGTCACAAAAAAGCACATTCAGGTGTTACGGCTTACTTTTGGGTTATCGACAGAACAAAAACACCCAAAAAGCAATATTCAGGAAGGATCTATGAATTTCAATGACTGCGAAGAGTAAATATAAGCACTTCTAAAAAATTCAAATTACAAATATGCATACATTAAGAATTTATTTTGAATTCAGGCCTTCAAGTAAACTATGCATACTGTAAACTGTGAATTTATGCTGAGTCATCATAGTTAAGGCCCAGGATTTTCTCCATCTTCATGAAATATTCATAAAACTTTGTATTTGAGTTAATTTTATTTAAATCTCTGAGATAAACCAGATTTGGTGAAATTCTATATGTTCTCTTTTCTTACCCTATTAATGTATATTTAGTTGTTATTATACTATTTCTCATGTTCTTACGTGATTTGTTTTAATCGAGTTAGACAGTTAAGCAATGAAACAACAGTCCCCCTGTTAATACTTCACAGATAGAAACAAAATATTTACAAATTGTTGGTTGTATTAACATCCTAAATATAATAAATCCTATGTAATAAAACTTTATTTACAAAATTAATCTAGAAATGTCCAAAAATCAATACAATGCATTAAACAAGTACAAATCGTTTATCATCATTGAATCTGAAGGATGTTTTTCAAATACGTTTTACCTATTTCCGAGACTTGAACTATTGTCTCACCTCCACGATACTTATCATTCACCATAAAATAAATAACTAATACCGGTGTGCTTTCTCAACTCAGACAAGAATAAACTTTCGAAAAAGATGACGCTAGACCACACACAAACGCGATATTGATAGTTTGACCAATTAGGATATTTTTTAATCTATCAATATACAGTTCTTTGCTAGGTAAATTTCAGTTGGGGCCAAACAGTCATAAAATCACAGTAATAATCATAAGTCAGGTATATAAACACAAAGGAACATGAACGGCAATAATGTTAGATAGACAATTGTGGACTTGAGGATCAATGACAATGTTTACATGTCTAAAGTAAGATGATATACTATGAAACTGTTATTATAGATTTCATGCGTCCGATGCGCTTTTTCTGGATTTATCATCATCGGAAACGCTCAATGCCGATATTTGAAAGCTAATGATGTAGAAGAACCGAAACAGTTGAAAACATCTATGACCCAAAAAAAAATCTAAAATAATAGCCAAATCATCTAAGATCAACTGTGCCTGATGGAGTTTAAACCTTAGTTTCTTAATAATTTATAAATGTATAAACGGACAATGTAAGGAAGGTTTGTGTAAATCATGTCAGTACCGAAGTACTGACTACTG